ATGCGGCGAAAATGACCGCACGAACATTCGGGTGAAGTGAAGACGGTTACATAGTCAAAAGACCGTTCCTTCGCGTACGTTTGGGCCTGCGCTGGCCCAAACTACGACCACAAGGCGCCTCAATTTCCATCGGAACTTCGGGCATCGCCACACCACTGTCGAATTGTGCAAAATGAGAATGAACTTCCCGCTAGAACATGGCTAGATGCACCCGCCACATTTTTGTCTTTTTCACATTTCCTCAGAGTGGTCTGGCGAGGCCTCTCGTGTGCACACTCGGCCGCTTGTCCAACGAGTAGCCGAAATTGCACGCCATTTACCGCACGGGCGCCAAGCTTTCACGTGTTCAAAAAGAACAAAACAAAAAAGAACACGCTTTCGTGTGTATCAACCCCCTTACGTATGATATGATTTTTCCAAATACTGACAGCCATCACGGACAGCCATCTCTTTCCCCGAAAGAAGATTTTTTCCGATGTCCTCTTTCAGCATAGTAATAATAGACAAGAGATTGACGCTTTCTGGGACATCACGGCAGTATTACTCGACATCATAACCGCCATAACCATCGGCCGCGCGAAACTTAAGAGATCGACGCTTTCAGGGACAAGGCCCCACTCCACTCAGACAGATTCTGCTTTTTTTTCCCGACTGTAGAAGACGTACGTAGATATAGATCAACGGTTCGAACCCGCGAGACCCGGAAAATGGAACCTACCTTCTTCCCCCGAATACAACGAACGGTCATTATAGCTGTATATTAAGGGATCTTTCGGTCTAGATACAACTATATTGACCGTACGTTGTATTGGAGGGAAGAAGGTAGGCCCAGGATATTCCACAAGATCTTTTACGCTTTGGGTGCACGTGTGTGACTGGGTACACCGGGTCGCGGGGAAAAACGAGTACAGTGCTGGGGTGGGGTTAAGTACTCATCTTGGGGCTTAACTTTCACCCCAGTCCACTTAGCCGTTTGGTTGAGTATTTACCTCTTAACGTGGAGGTCGCATGTTCGATCCTTGCATCGGTACGGACGGACAGATTGTTGTCTGGAGTGAGAATGCAATTCAGGGACAAGGTCCCTCTCAGACGGATTCTGCTTTTTTTCCCGACTGTAGAGTACGTACGTAGATATAGATCAACGGTTCGAACCCGCGAGACCAGGAAAGTGGAACCTGGGCCCAGGATATTCCACAAGATCTCTAACTAACACTAAGTACAATTAAACAACACAGTCCATCCGTTAAAAATGGAACGATCCACAGAAGATTTTAAGCATGGCCCCTGAGCAGGGCTGATACGCATAAATCGAGAAATGGTCCAAATAGAGAGAAGGGAAGAGAAACAACGAACATAACCGCAATTACCACCGGCCCCAGGAATTGCCAGTTTTGTATTAGAGACCACCCCACATAGAGTTCTGCGTAGCACAAGTGTTGTAGATCAGAGGATATTCAATTCAAATATAAAGAAATACTATAATATAATACTCCTCCGTCCTCCTCCCTTCGATTCCCGTCAGCCTATCCCCTCCTCCACCCCCCACCCCGCTCCAAACGAAAAAGCGAAACAGGAAGGTGGCGGAGAGATAGGTAGCGTCATGGAGGCAAATTTTGATGAAGTGAATGGTATGCTGCGAATCAACAATATAGACCACAGCATACTTCAATGCGTGGGTTTTAATTGAGCAAAGCTTCTGTGCCGGCAATCGCAAAACCCGCTGTGTGGTCGAATGGAGGAAACTTAGGGCCAGATTCCACTACCCCCTATTATTCATTTCTGACCGTTGATCTTCGTAATCAAGGGTCAAAAATGAACAATAGGGGCTAGTGGGATCTGGCCCTTAGAAAAACATAGGAAAACATAGGGTGGTGTGATTGAGAAAAACATAGGGTGTGACAAATACCTACAGTCGGGGTGCTCAACGTGATGAATGACAACGAGCAGCGGCCAACACTACGGGTAGTCTGTGGCACGCACGCTGATCATGAATGTACATGAGCTATCTTTCCGGTCCTATACAGTCAAGACGAGGGAGCGTTCTGCTCGGGGGAAGATAGTACCAGGCGTCACGACGACAGAAGCGTGGATCGTGACGTGATCCATTGAGAGAGCAGCCTGGGAGATCGCGGGTGCAAAACGTTAACAGGGTTCGCGGGGCGCGCAGGGCAGCACAGAGACCGGAAGGAAGAAGCAGCAAGGAAAGAACCGAAGGATAGACAATGGGATCATATCTGGCAATCCAAAAGTCGGGACGCCGTACGATGGGGGGCTGCTGATTTGCGGCGAAAAAAGGAAAGTCGGAACAGCTTGCGGAGGCAAGAGAGAGAATTACTGTAACAGGATCGGCACGAGCACAGAGAGAGAGAGAGAGAGAGAGACTAAGAGAGAGAAAAAGAGAGAGAAAGGGCGGGACAGAGAGAGAACGAGAGAAAGGGCGGGACGGAGAGAAGAAGAATAAAAGACTCGGAACCGCGAAGAGGATAGAGAAAAAGAATAAAAGATTAGAGGATCGGCGCATGAAGACAGAGAGAGAGAGAGAGGGAGAGAGAGAGGGAGAGAGAGAGGGGAACACAAATTGGAGCCTTGAAACAGCAAAAGAGAGAGAGAAAGAATGGGAGAAAGGCAGATCGGCACCTGAAGAGAGAGAGAGAGAGGGAGGAGGAGGAAGAGGATTTGAAGCCTTGGAACAGCGAAAGAGATAAGAAAAAAAGGTTGTGAGATTAGCCATACACGCACAGTGAGATAGCAAGGCACCAAAGACAATAAATGAGAAAAGAATCAGGGAGGGCGGATAACGAAGGAGGTGTTGTTGGAACTAAGTAAAAACAGACTCACAACGCGATAGCGCGAATACGAGGTGGCCAAAACGTTTACGACGACAACCTTTCGGGACAGAAAGAACAGCGACGTGGTGGCAAAAGAGGGAGAGAGAGAGAGAGAGAGAGAAAAGTACACGAAGAAACGGACTGCAAACGCGAGAGACAGAAATACCATAAATCGAAAAAACTACAGAGAGTCCCACCAGATTTCATGAAACGGTATATAAAAAAAAACGGGGCGAAATGATGCTTCATAGAACCAGATGTGAGAACGAGAGGGCAATCACCGACGACCATCGAACGCACGCCAAGGCAAGAGAGTGGAAACGAAAGACCAATACAGACGAAGGAGAGAAGGACATGGAGAAGTCAAGACGATGAGAACCATAACTACTATTACTACTACTATAAGTTCCCTTCGTCCCACCGATTTAGCTTTCCCGCCATCCTTTGCTTTCGCTTTCCCGCCATCCTTAGCTTTCGCTTTCCCGCTGAGTTAGATTTCACGCCATCATTCGCTTTCCCTTCACAGCCGATTTAGAGGCAGGTTTGTCGGAAGCCCTCTGAGGAGCGCCGGGTGTGCGTGCACCTGGCCACGACTAGGGGAATTTGCACGTAACTGAGACTTGTGCATGAGGATTCTAAGAGAAAGAAGCTTGAGAGGCATGTGAGCAAAATCAGTGTTGAGCGCTGTTCTCAATAAATAAATAAATACAAAAAAAAAAAGACACTATTCTTTTCGGATGAAGACGAGAACACCCTGAGCGGCATTGCAGGAGTGAAGGGTGATTATCTCATAGATAAGGAGTATATGTTCTCATTCTGGCGTTATCTTACTTGTGTGCCTCGCTTCACCACTCACCAAATGTGCAAAAACAATGAGAATGAACAGCCTGCTAGAACACTGAAAGATACACCGCCATAATTTTTGCTGTTTTTTCCATGTGCTGGAACGAGGCTTTATTACCACACGATCTTGTGGTACATGACGATCTCCAAAACATCAACCTTCAATATTGTTACAAATCAAACCCCCCCAACTCGACAGCAAATAGACACATTCTTTACCTTCCTGCACATCGACCCCACTCCCTAAAAGACCATAACTAGTCCAATGAAGCCACGCTCCAAAGAGCTGGAGATGCCACTGACTCGTACAATGCTAGATTTCCCACTGACGCACGACAAAAGATCCACTTGGGGAATAAGGCCGACTGTAGTCAGCTATCTAGATCTGAGCTCTCACGTCTTCCTCCGCTCAACACCACTCGCCCCACTTTCCCACCTCTCTCCCTCATCACCTCTTTCGCGCCATCTCTCTCTCTCTCTCTCTCTCTCTCTCTCTCTCTCTCTCCTGTCTCTTATACACATCTGGGCCTTAGTGTGATATGGTTATTTTCTTTTTTATCTTTACTTCTGTGAGGAATTCTGATGTGACCCTCAACCAAAAGTTGTTTGTATTGCAATTCTACACAACATAATTCTTTCAGATTTTTTGGATTTGATTTTTTTTTTTTTTTTTCATCGGGGCTGCCCGGGGCCATGCCCGGGGGTCATGCCCGGCCGGTCACCTGGTCGCCAATACAGGCGTGATATCGGGACCCTGGCGCCCGGGATATCTCCCTAGGTAACCGCCACAAAGCAACAATTAAAAAAATAGACAGGGAAGCAAGCAGAAACACAAGCCAACAGGAAACGGACACAAAGAGACCATACACATCAATACGGATCCAGACATCGGGAGAAGTATGGAGCAAGCACAGCGCCCACCACGTCTGTACAGTCAAGCAGCAAATGCCTACCCATCCATCCAGCAGAAACAGTGACAACTCTACTGATGATCAGAAAACATACCTGATCTCTCTCTCTCTCTCTCTCTCTCTCTCTCTCTCTCTCTCTCTCTCTCTCTCTCTCTCCCCCCCCCCCCCCTCCTCCCTCTCTCTCAAAATTCTAAATGACGAAAATAATCTGCGTACACCATAGCAACTGGTGCAGACAGGTTCTTTCTCATCCTGATTATAGTTGAGATCCAGTATTGCATTCCACGTAGGCCTCATGTTACCAGAGACAGCTTGTCAACCATGGCAACGCTGAACACCACCTATCAACTTGTAATCTCCTTGTAAAAAGGGCACAGATGACCACGAAATGGAGACTTTCAGGAAAATCCCTTCTTACTTGCAGCTATACTTGTGTGAAGCTTCAACTCTTCCTTCATCAACTTCAGATCTTTGGCTGCTTGGCAGACAGGCAGCCACTCCATGATTACCGTGGTGAGGTATTCCAGAGATGGTTCAAACATGGATGTCATAGCCTGGACAATCCCCAAAGCACCCCGAAGCTCTCGTATGCGATAGTAATGCACAAAATTTTGAAGAATCATCCGCCACCTGTGGCTCAACAGCTTGCTGCCAACTGTGTCACAGACGAAGTCGAAGCAGAGGGAGAAATACACTGATAAGTGCAGATGCACGGTAAAAGGCCTGTCTTGGGAAGCTATGCCACATGCACAGCAAACTTTAAAAAAAAAACTTTGGAATTTACAAGATCCGGGATAGATCCATTTCAACGACAAAGTTCCAGAAAATATGGCAATCAAGATCTTGAGTATGCTGGCCTCTAAAATTCACATCCTTCAGTCAAGAAATATTCTGGGGGAAAGCGGAACGCATGGAGGGTGTCAACATTATTCTTTCTTGTCTCTGTTTTTTCTTCTGATTATTGATTCGGGATAACAGATGAGTGAATGAGTGGAGTCCATCTGGGCATCCACGGAAACTTGGATCATGCAGAAGCACTTCCTCTGTCGTAATGTCAAGTTCCATCCATCCTTACTGATGCAATACTCAGTCCACTGGTAGGCTATTGAGGCCAACCATTCCAGATTGTCCCGGTCGAACCACCAGCACCCTCAAACTTTGGCAAGTGAGAGAAAGCTTGGGGGCACATCTGCCCAGCACGGGACTGTACTGTCGAAATGCGCATGGGATGGACAGCACGGCTCAAGGTTTGTCTCCAAAAGTGCATTCGAGGAAGGAGGAGACAAGGAGAGCAGAGGGTAAGGTGGGCAGTAGCTAATTGGAAGGCTGAGATATGGGGTTGACCTGGACAGAAAGGGGGCCTCAGAAGGAGGCTTGGACAGAGTTTGGGAGGCAAGGGAGCTGGTGAGGAGGGTGGACATGATAGCCTACAAGGGATTGTTGAGAAGGAAGGTGGCAAGGAAGGTTGGGAGGATGGAAGATGCAAAACACGTTCAAGGAGCTCCATGGGAGCCACAATTATATGCTTGCACGCTAGGGCAGAATCTCGGAAATCAAAAGTGAGGAGGCAGAACTTCCCACAGGGTGAGGGAAAGGTGTTAGACAGAATGCTTAAAGAGTGGAGGTTCAGGGCTCGAGGAAAAGCAACAGAGCGGTGCCAGTGTATAAAAGAAGAAGAAAGCAGAGTCTGTGGAAAGCAAGCTAAGATGTTGGGGACTAGTAAGTTTGTGAGGTTTAGGAAGAAGTTTGGAAGAAGGCCAGCACGGTGTTTGGGAGAAGGCAACGGATGTTCTAGGTAGCGGGCGAGGACAGGCCGCGATGCAGGGGAGATTGTTGGGAGAAGGAAAAGGAGGACAGAAGTTTATTGTCCGTTTCAATATGCTGCTGTCCTTTGTGGGATGGATCCTATTACATTGATACTCATTCGATAGGTCACTTCGCACTCATTATGTGTGCACGCCACTTGTCCTTTTCCTGTACCTAATTTCCATCAAAATGCTATCGTTTTTCGCGAGATAGATTCTACTTGGATTGGTGAGTTGGCACTCGTTCCGTAAGTGTTCCTCACTTCCATGTGCTAACGCCCAACAGAAGCCCCTTGGCACCATTTGACACCTTTTGAGGGACAAATACTGTCACAAGCTTCCAAATGCAGTGAAACACTGCTGTAGGACAAAATCAGTAAAGGCTCTTGTGAAAGTCGGACACAGACAGAAAATTTCACCACAGTTTCTCACCTTCCTGCTGTGCTCGAAATGCAAAACCAACTAAGGCATCATAAGTTTTCTCCACATCTGAAACTGGGCAGCGCAAGACCACTGGATCATCTGGCTCCCTCCTGTAACACAACAACCCAACAGAAGGAGGCGATGGCATTGGTATTGGCGTAAGAAACCCAGCAAGGCCGGAAAATACAAAGTCAGAGTTGTAGCGCAGGATTGCCGAGTCCGGCTCCACTGGAGTGATTAGGGTTTACCCACCTCGACCCTCGACCCTCCAAAATGTAGCCAAGATGGTGATGCTTGATCACTTTAGGGCCCGAAGCAGCTTGTGCAATGTTTATACCAACAGTCAGATGCATGACATCATGCCAGCCCTCACCGAAACCCGCATGAAAATAGATTTGGTTCTCTATGCCTCCCCTCTTCCACTTCCTTGTTGTATAGTTGTTTGTCTGCCTCTCATCTTCCCTCTGCTTGTGTCTGTCGACCTCTGTGCTCATCTCTCTCTCTCTCTCTCTCTCTCTCTCTCTCTCTCTCTCTCTCTCTCTCTCTCTCTCTCTCTCNTCTCTCTCTCTCTCTCTCTCTCTCTCTCTCTCTCTCTCTCACACACACACACACACACACACACACACACACACACACACACACACATGCACATGACACATTCACACACTCACTCCCGCGCGCACGCCCATACGAACAAGGACTTCGGCGTTATCTTTCCGCGTGCATGATTCCTTGAAAGAGCACCCATGGACATTGGCAAAGGTGAAAGCTACCTAATACAACCAGGCTACAACCAGCTGAAAGATAGAACGATGGTGGAACGTGGAACACTCACCTGCGATCCGATACGTCGCTGCTTTCTGAGCGCGCAAAGCGACCACCTTATGCTGTTCTTCGCTGACGTGGAACCCCTCCCTTAGGAAGTTGGCGTCCGAAAGGCGCTCCTCCAACGTCTGGTCCGCGCTCTGCGGGGTGTATATGACGCGCAGGGTCGCCTCATAGTCACCCAGATCTACTACAGAATCCCTGGAAGGGATACGCGGGCCTGCCGCGCCCGTTGATCTCTTTCCGTCATCATGTGTTACTTCCGAAGCGTTGATCAAGTCGGTAATATCAACGACTGAGACACTCTCCAAGGCATCATACCCCGACCGATCTGCCTTTGGTTCGACAGGCACCCTCCTCGACTTCACCTGCACGGGCACCTCCTTCACGCTTCCCGTTGCCGGATTGAAAACCCTAATCGTCGACTGCCGTGACAGTAACGACTGCTTCCTCCCGCCTCCGCCTCTCAGCGGAGAGACCACCTCATCCTCTCCCTCTCCCGCGGCTTCTTCCACTTGAAGATACACCGGCTTCTTCACTCTCTCCTTCTCCGCCCCGTCGACAACCGCCGACGGGTGGATCGCAAACCGTGACGTGGCATGACTTTTCCAGGTTGGCGTGGAATCTGCATCGTGCAAACGACTGTACGTCTTACTAAGCATCCCTTCCTCCAATCAAACTCGTATCTTTTTTCGCCTTTTTTTAAGTCTCCCGCCTTTTTCAGTCTCCCGCCTTCCGTTCAAGACCAAGTTCTCTCCAAGCTTGCCGAACGGCCGGCAGCCAGTCTCCACGTCAACCGTGAAGACCCGAACTCGACCGACCTCCCTCTCCACGTTTGTTTCCACCGACCACCCCGCTCTCCCTTTCTCCCCTTCCCCTCGCCTCCGACTTCTTCCACGCTTACGCACCGCGACGCGCTCATCAGCCAAAAGTTCAAGTTCAGACTAGATAGAGAGCTGCGATCGTAGCGCCGGGTCGCGCCGCGCAGAACACCCTCCTCGATGTCGCGCGCCCGACCATTCTTACATCATGCGACTGGATCTCGCCGGTACGATGCCGATATGCTAGTATCAACACGAAGAAGATGAAGATGCATCAACGGCCTTCAGGGAGGGAGGAAAGTTGACACCCGTCCCCACCCCCTCTCGCTTACTAGACCTGCCCGCGGACCCAAGACGTGTCCGATCGCTTTTGGTCCCTCCCTCCCTCCCTCTGCTTCCCCTCGGTGTTACTGACTCCCGACGGTCTCAACAAAAATTAGCCCACTCTTGCAGCTTAGATTTCCCGCTAAAACGGAAATCGAAAAGGTTGCGCGGCGCGCCACCTGGCGACTGGCTTCCTACTTAAGCAAAAAAGCGCGAGATTAGCCTCAACCCATGTGCCTGAGTGGCAAGCAAGCGTACCTGCTAACAAACCGATCACGCGTCGAGTCCTCGAAAAAAAATCGAAGGAAACGACCTATCTATTTCTAAATGTACCGTCGGGATATCGACTACGACACCTGGCAACGAAGCTTGCCCGCGTGGCAAACAACTCCGAAGAAGCAGCAGCAACAGCCCCCCTCCGTGAATTATGGCACTACCGGCAATTTCTCATTTTTATCAGAGCGCGAAGTTCTGCCAGAGTTTTTATTTCTACCCTCGCGTCCGATATTCATTTTGACTGCCGCCCACGCAAGTCGAACGAACTGACCCGTCCCACTTGGGCAAATTAGGAGATTTCGGCCGTTGATCTTTGCTATCTACGGTCAGTATCCCATAATTCGTGCATCTGGGACCTAGCCCCGTGAGTGGGTTGTGTGTGGTGTGTGGGAGAGTGTTGGCCACAGCCACTGCTGCTACTCGATGGGGGTTGGGGGACGATGAAAAGGGAGGCGCAGCTACTGGCAAAATGCTCCGTCTTGATTTGGAATATAAAGGATGTGGTTTGTAAAAAAAAATAAAAATAAAAAAATGCTCCGTCTTTGCTTTAGCCGGACCCCCACCGGCGGCCCCGCCCCATCTCTGACTACCGCTGTTGGGGGGGGGGCCAACATGAATACCTCTAAGTTTGTGAGGGCTTGCAGGGGTCCCCTTTATATAGCCTCAGGAGTAGGGTAGGTAGGTAGTGAAATGCAAAAAGAAGGAATTTGAGAGGTCCCCTCTATATAGTCTTAGGAGTAGTGGTATGAAAGGTGACATCTGTGCTCAAGCCTCCAACGAAGGAATATGCGGGAGCTGGCTGCGCTAACGCTAGCGCCCTGACGCCGGCGGACCGGCGAGGCCCGGTCTTCCTGGCTAGACTAGCGCCAGGGGAGGGAAGCTCCTCGGCTGCTAGGCCTGGGCGCGCGCCCGACAGTCGTGCATGGCTTCCTTTTGCCATGTGGCGTCTGTTGATTGGTGACGCGGCCGTCCCGCGACACGCGCGTAGGGGTAGCGCCAGCAGTGAGGTCGACGCGGAAACACAAGTGGAGCGCAGCTATCAGGGTTAGAGATGGAGGTGGGGGGGGAGCTACAACGACAAGCAGAGGATTGGCTGGTGACATTGGAGCAGGGATGCAGGCGGTTACAGATGATGGTGGGGGAGCTGTCTTTGCGGCTAATTGAGGAGCCAACAGACGACGGGGGAACGATCTCTATGGCTGTTTGGCGGAAGAATATGGTCGACGACATGCTGGATATCATCTGGTGGCTGGAGGAGGGGCCGGATCCCCAGTTGGAAGCCTGCATCGACTGGAAGAGGGCAAAGGCCATGATGTCTACCTGCTATGACCTCTTCGTTGAGGGTCGCAACCTGCACTATAAGCTTGAAGACGGTTGAAGGGCAAGGATGACCTGGAGGGTGAGGACTGGTAGGAGGACGGAGCGCAGGGAGACGAGGTTAACTCCAGCATCAGCATCAACAACAACAACATCAACGACAACAACGACATCAACAATAACAACAACTACAACAACAACAACAACAACGGCAACAACAACGGTTACAGCGACAACAATAATGATGACAACATCAACATCAACAACCAAAACGTCAACAACAACACCTACAACGGGACCGCTGAACATGGCAGCAGCGGGGTGGAGAACAGTGCCCGCGCATATCTGATCATCGTCAACGACATGGGAGAGATGTCGCATATGGATGCGGTGGAATTCGGGGCTGATAACAACAAAGGCGTGGGCGGCAACGACGATGATGGCGGCAGGGATTACCATGACAACAGTCACAACAACGACAACAATAACAACGTCGACAACAACAACAACAGCGGTGATGGCAGCAGCGACGACGATGGCGGCCGCGATGATTACAGCTCCAGCGACAACCCCGGCAGCAGCAGGACAGAGAGCATCAACATGACGGGAGAGATGCTGCATGCTGACGTGGAGGGGAGTGGGCTTGACACGGATAAGAGGTTTGCCAGCTCCCCCCCCCTCCCCCCTCTCAACCTCGTTGGTTGGCTGAAGTTAGGAGTGGGATAGTCGTTGTTGGGACTGGGATTGTAGTTGTTGATTGGTGTTGTCCGACCCACAATATCAATCAACATCGGACTACTGATTGCCCCGCACGCATACATTACATTTAGGTTAGGGTTTTGTGGGTTGTTGTACATTTACAAAGATACAGTGGATTAGATGCATAGGGTTATAGGGACGCTGGACCCGATTTCCAGCAGATACAATCACATCTCTGTACATAGGATTTCATGTTTGAATGATTGATTGATATAGAACACATCTATCATATGCGCCACATCATACATACAGCACACTTACATCACACATACATCACATCGGGGATTGTTTTACATACACAGTGATATTGTGGATCAGATGCATAGGAACAAAGGGTAGCTGGACCTGATTTCCAGCAAACACTTTCACATCTTTCAAGTTGTATAGGGAGGTCGGGCCCAATTTCCAGTAGATACGCTCTCATCATTGTACAAGGACGCTGGACCCGATTTCCAGCAGGTGTAGCTCCCCACCAATAGATGGAGCCTTCGACGCTGGGATCTACTTATCGGGGATGCTCTTATCACCTCGATAAGTAGGTTTCCCATATACGAAGTTCCAAAAAAAAAAAAAAAAAAAAAAAAAAAGGTAGTGAAAGGCGAAAAAAGAATTTGAGAAAAAAAGAATTGACCCTAAGCTCAGTTGGCTAGGCACGCAAGTGGCATTCAGGAGGTCCACCGGTGTCGGTGCGAATGCCCTTACAAGGGTATCCGCCCTGGTTTTTACAAATAACAGGAAATAAGTCCGGTTTAAAGTTTAATTATACCGCCCGAGGCACAGATACGTCTGTGAGTCCCGTTGACCAGACAGTTGACTAGAGTCGGGAGTGTGTGGGCGCGCAGACTTAAGACGCACGTAATCTTTTTTCAATATTTGATGATTGAAGAGCCGACGTGGTCGTCGGCCCAAATTGTTATTTTTGATTAACCTAGGATTAAAAGGGTTATGTTTCGTTGACCGATTGCGCTTGCCAGTGGCTTGGCATACGTACGGAGGGCGACATCGACAACAGTGCGATAATTAAAACATTTCGGTGGGTTCCCGCATCGCACAATATTCGTTTATATAGATGTCTGCCAACACTAGATTCAACTTTGGGCCTAGCACTAGCGGTTACGGCTACAGACTTATCAGAAAGATTCAAGGATCGAAGTCGGGAGACGACGACGTCGTGGGAGTATCAGAGTGATACGAAGGAACTGAGGGGTTGAGGACCCGGCAGGGTTATCCCCCTCAGTTTTGCTGACAACAGCCTAGAGCGGTGCTAGCGGGTTGTTCTCCCCTGTTCGTCATATTTTGACGATTTAAAGTTTCTAAGTTTTTTTTTTTTTTTTTTTTTAACTATTTATTATTACGTTGTTCCGACTTTCTATGACTTAAATGCGATGTCGGGGTTAGTGATCGTCGCGACAGTAAAGGACCTTGAGTACCCACAAACTAAGGGGAGAGGTTAAAGCATGTGGGGTCCACGATCGTGGTCTCCGCCGCGATAGCCCAGGTGGGAAGGGAGCGGAGAAAGTTCCGAGCTGACCACTAGGGTACCACCAAAGGATGGTGTGGGCCCTCTTCAGGTGTCATGCCCACCTACCACGAACTATTGTGAGAGGTTTGGGTGTGAGCATACCCCTTAGGACCATAGGTTGATGAATTATGCTTGGGTACGGGCACCAGGGCAGTGGCTGCATTACCCAGGTTATGCTCCATATGGCACCCGCCCCGCTGTGGCGCAAGCTGCAGGATCCGCAGCAAGCCAGGGGCGTTGTGGGGAAGACCGCAACAATACTGCTGCAGCTCACCCGACGGACCGAAGCAGCGAGAACACGGTAGCAGGCTGCCTTAAGAAAGTGTTCTCACGGGACCCTCCCCACCTAGGCCTTCCGAGTGCTCGTTTAAGTACTTGCTATTACCACCAAGATCTGCAATAGGGCATGATTCGCCTAGGCACAAGGTACAGACGTTGCAGCAGGCTCGTTTCCTTTTTCTCTCACTGTAGCGGCGGAACTGCCTCGAAGACCGGGCATATGCCGGACAATGCAGCTCTGTTCTTTATAAGTGGAACTATTCGGTAGGCGAGTTGTCGTGTACTCCTTGGCCGGAGTCGGCTTGCATGACCGACAGACTGAGGACTGAGGCGATCGACGCCTGGACGGTCGGAGTTAGTGCACCGGATGACATTGATGGTGAGACTGGCGGAAAGGAGGCAACGAGGCGAGGTAACAAAGAAGAGAGAGGAGCCTAGGTTGGTTTCAGCGCTAGGTGCATGCAGAGGGGAAGCCAGCCATGGCAGAAGCAAGCTAGGTAGGAGGGAGTAAGAAACACAGAAGCCGCCCGATCCTTGATGAAATCGGGCGGGGAAAAAGTCGATGTTGGGGTTATGAAGGTGGGTGACCCCATTCTTAAGGTTAGAATTGGCTGAAGGTCAGTAGATTGGGAGATGATCGAAGAAGAGGGCGCACAGAGGTGGTCGGAAGTGTGAGAGAAGAAGGGTAGAAAACGCATATCTTATGCGGTTCTGAACGGATTTCGACGGGC